AAAAAAAAAAAAAAAAAAAAAAAAAAAAAAGAACAGGATCGTAGCAGTTTGAGTATCGTGTCGATATATGTGACCGTTGTGGTTTCACATCTCTAGATCCTTTTGTCTCTTGCCCTGTATAAGTGGACTTCCAAGGTCCACCTTCTTATGTTCTCGAACTCTGAGTGACCGATGTGCGACTGTGTGTAATTGACTCATTTGTTTTTTGAATTTACGGAATACTACGGTGAATCGTCAATGAGGTTCTGTCTTGCAAGAGAATTATATACGTCTCGGAGTCGTTTATTGGACAAATTTGGAATAATAATACCATTGTACTAATTAATTTATGACGCAATAATTCCAACATGAATGACACCTTCTGTGCAGACAGCAGTTGTCCTGCAGTCACTGGAACGCTGGTGGAAAGGGATGCCTTTGACAGGTGGCCTGAGCATCAAGGTGAGAGGGTTAATACGTAGCACAAGGTGAAGGAGGAATCAGGACCACACTCTACCCGTCCTATATTCATGTATGGAAAACATAATACCTGGTCAGGATAGTGGCCAGATTCTCGCTTTCCTAACATGAACATAGCACCAGTGGGGCCTGGCCCTCAGTTTCCGACTTGAAATGCCATTGTTTTTCCCCTTAATTTGAAGGCTGCAGATGTGAAGGGGGTTGTTTCTTCATTTTGTGGCCTAGAGGGAAGCGGTTTTCTTTTTTTCTTTTTTTTCTTTTTTTTTTGAGGGAAGCGGTTTTCTCGTACAGATTTCAGCCAAAAACTTTTGCAAGCCCAATGCAGCGCATAAAGGCCATACAAATCGACACAATACTTCACAAGTTCACACTCTGATGTCAGGATTGAAGACGTAAAGTGCAAGATGTCACCCATGCTCTACTTCATGGGTGTGAAGAAATTATGTCAAATTGTTTTGTGCTGACCTGCCTTTGTGGGCTTGTCAACAGTGTGTTGACTTGCTCATTCAGGCCTTCACAGCTGTCAGCTACCCTGTCTAGTGGCAATGCAGCCCTGTGCGGCCTGAAGCAACTGACTGGAATGGATGAGTACATACAGGCTGGCACATCCAGCCCGCTTTATTTGAAACAACGCACTGACATTGTGTTTCCACGAGCAAGTGCCTCTGTATCCAAACTGTACAGCCTGTCAAATCATACAGCTACCATGTCTACGGTAGTGGCAATGAAGCCCTATGCAGCCTGCAGATTTCCAACAGAAAAGGCATGTGGCGCCCTGTGCACCCATTTAGAAATGTAACCTTGCACTCTGTGATTTTGCCAAACTTTCCTTTCTGAGCAATGCCACCTCCATGTGATGACTTCGATGTCAAGAGAGAGGGGTGGAGGTAGGAAGGCAGGAGGCGTGCGTGCGCATGAGAGAGAGAGAGAGAGAGAGAGAGAGAGAGAGAGAGAGAGAGAGAGAGAGAGAGAGAGAGAGAGTTCCATACCTTATGTGGAACCTGTGCACAATACCCAACGCTGAGGATGAGGGCCCTTTGCTGGGGATGCCAATAGTGCATGGGAGACTGAGGATTAACATGTATGACTCTGGGATATTGTTCTGCTTAGTTTGGTTGGTGATCTCATTTTGGTGGTGTCTAGGCAACACAGTTTAACACACGCTCATGAGATATGGGATGCCTGTCACAAAGCGAGGATCAGTTCTCCGTCCAAGGGCACCAAGTGGAATAAACTAAGTGATAGCAGACAGACGGTTATGGGATATGGAATTCATAGCACAAGCGGGAATCAATGCTCTGTCCAACAGCCGCAAGTGGAGCAAAATAAGTGATAGCAAAAGCGAGAATCAGTGCTCTGTCCAAGAGCCACAAGCGGAATAAACTAAGTGATTGCATGCAAATCTGGTCAGGTACCTGGTCCGGTCAGACCAACCAAGAATAAGTCCGTATTGGAAATGCACAAAGAGCTCAACACTCGTCAATCTGGTGCGAGAATGTCCACGCAAACTCAGGACAGGCCTGATAAGACCTCATAAAACTGGCCAAAACATCCCAAAACTTCCTTATCCCGGTACTGCAGAGGACATCTTGGGGCACTCCTAACAACCAAACTTGTATGCTATCACTTTTTTTTTTTCTTTTGAGCTGTGTTCTTCTCATCAGGGCTATCACTAAATTCATTCCACTTTGTGAGTTTGGGATAAACTACAGTACAAACTTACTACAAAGCATAAAAGCCATGGGTGCACTGCCCCTTTGATGTACTACCCATAGTCGTGCTACCCATAGATGTACGACCCATGGGTGTACGGCCCCTATGGACCCCAGCCAACCTCGCCACTGCAAAGAGCCACAAAGGAGGGGTATACTGCTAGACTGCCATCTCCTGAAAGGGCAACACGACTTCCCAGACATCTCGAGTGTGAGAAATGTTGCGGAGGAACGGCTACACTGAAGAATAAGTGGCATTTACTGTGAAGTTGTAGGCCAACAACTCCCGAAGTAGGTCTGCAGCATAACTGCGGTCACACACAACAAGTTTTCGGCAATCACCGCAATAGCCAACATTCTAAAAGACTGGTGGCAATGATGGCTGCAGTATGACTTTCTTACCAATGGGTAAAGAGAAGCTTTACCGTAAATGTCGTTGGCTATACTGCAGTCATTCTAAGAGAATGACAGCAATGATGAGTGCAGAATAACCAGCGGAGTAACCAATGTGTAAAGAATGTCATTCCTAACTCTGCATGCCATTGGTTATACTGCAGTAATTTTTAAAAATGACATCAAATATGACTGCAGTATAATCAATGGGTTAAAAATGACCGCAGTCAGCCTTTGCGTTAGTGAGTTGAAGCATATCTAAGGTGCACTGCATTTGACTGGTTTGTTTCCTTGCGGACGGGTTCGTGTGTGTGGTCTTGATAAAGATACTTGGTCAAACTGATGAGGCACCTTCAGGTGGAACTAGCCGATTATCTCCTACTGCTGCAGCGATACAAAGAGGTGAAGTCGATTGCGCTAGGCAAAGTGAGTTCTCACACGCTTCCCCCATTTCTGCACTCAAACAACGACCATGGCCTCAACAGAAGCTCCAGAACGAGTCACCGTCAAAATCAACCGAGTCTGTAATGCAGCATCAAGTGCCATCAGATGCGCCTGCCACTCCCCTAGGCCAGCAGGACGGCTTGTCCCAGTGGGATTATTGGTCATTACCAGGGACACCACAGCATGACAAACAAAGGTCATTGGCACCACCTGCAGTGGCACAAGGCTCATTTGAACGAGTGACATCGGGTGCATTACCGTCGATTGACAAGTTGGATCACCAGACTAGCCTGGGTAGTGCGGAGACATCTACAAGCGGTGGCGATGGTAGATCAACAAAAGCTCTTGCGAGCGCTGGCACTCAGGGGAGCCTACAAGCAGTGAATTCAGGGATACTCTCTTGGAGCAATTTTTATGGGGCCAGTCATCAGACACTGGGAGGTCCAGCTCCCCGGTGCAATAGCTCCATGGAGTTCTCTAGTTGGCAAATGTGTCCAGTTGCTGCTCCTGTAACACTTGATATCTCAGCAAGCTCGCAAATCGGACATTCCTCACATTTAATGGAAACAGTCTCCAGTAGCGCAACCACCACTGTGCCTGCTTCCGTTTGTGTGTCTTCCACAGCTCTTGCAGGACGAGGCCACCCAACATCGCATGGAGGAAATGACGGCATGAACCCCCTCCCAGTGCCAAATACCTCCTCTCCGGTCTCACCTCAGGCGAATGCCCACCCTTTACAACATTCATCGCTCCTAGACCGTTTCTCGCTTCTTGGACGTTCCTCACCTGTTGGCCCTTCACCATTGGGACGCTGTGCAACTGCGGTAGGAATCTCACGTCTGTCAGCTTCCACCTCATCCTCTGGAAGTAGCTCACCTGTGGGTGCATTGAGGGGGGACGAGCGAAATAGACAATGCCCAAGCCCAGGAACTGGACCCGGTCTATCGAGTGTGGGTTCCCCTTCACCTGTGGGTACATCAAGGGGTGACGATCAGAATATACAATGCCCAAGCCCAGGATCTGGACCCGGTCTATCCAGTTTGGGTTCCCCTTCATCACCACCAGGCCCATCTGTTAGTGGAATTAGCAATTCCAGTCCACGTCCGTCAATACTCAAGAGGTCATCCTTTGGCAAGGCATCCAGATTGTCTTACAGGAGTCGCAAGGCGAGCTTGAGGAAAAGCCTGAAAGTCATCATACCCTGTGAGCGACGACTGTCTGGAGTGGCTGACTCGGCACATCAGCAGTACAGCCCTTCAGTCCAGTTCTTATTACCAGAGGGATATGGTCAACCACGAAGCCCTGGTCGCAGCCCAACTCCAAGGCATGTGCGTCTGAAAACCTTCGCGAAAAAACTCCATGAGAATGAACCGATTTGGTATAAGTAACTAATGGTTTTCTTTTTCTGCTTCTTTTTGCCTCTGCCTCTGTCTCTGTCTCCCAAACTGGATGTGCAACTGGATTTGAGAAGATTGTGAAGTATATACAGTTTGTGTGCATCTGCCTTGCCATCTGGTTTTGTGTTTGTTACCCTTGTACTGATGTGTTCTGTGTCCTGTTTTATCATTCCAGCAATTCTGAGTAATGGGAGAGGTCCGCAATTGTTTGTCTGTCCCCCTCCCCCCCCCCCACCACACGGAAACAAGGCCCGGTTGCTTATCACCAGCAAGCATAGAGCAATGTTCAGACTAGAGGAAGAGAGGCAGCAACAGATGAAAAAGGTCCAGCCTACTGTCCCTGTCGCCCTAGACGCTTTCGAGGGAGGACTGGGGGGGGCAGCTCTGTGACACATATCTGTCCTCCCCAACCAGGGCTCACATAGTGGCTGGGAAACATCCATTCAGTACCCAGGTGCACACTATGAGTGTCCCGGGGAGGACAGCCTCGGTTCCCAGAACTGCACCTCCAGTCTCTAGGCCTCAAATCTTGGCTCCCATTAGCCACCTCTCCTTCATTCTCTTCGTGTACCTCAAACCCCAGACAGCTAGCCACATATACCCCGTCTTCACCCGAATAGAATGCCCGGTCATTATAGCTGTATCTGGACTGAAAACGGGGCGTCCTATACCTCAGACCCCAGACAGTTAGCCACTTATAACCCGAATAGAAGTGCACCAAATACAGCTACAATGACCGGGCGTTCTATTCGGCTGAAGATGGTAGCCCTTCTACAACCTATATATCTCCCCTCCCCAATACCGGGGTCCTAATCCACCCATCTGTTTCCTAGTAGTGTTCATGCAATCGTTACCCTATCCGCGATTCCACATCCAATCATCGCCCTTTCTGCAATACGACTTCCAGTCTCCCAGCATTCCTCATATACGGCAAACTCTTACACACTTTCTGCAACAGCACATGTAGTCCCCCACCATTCACCTTCTATATCGATCGCCTGCACACTCCTATACCAGCCTACCATCTTCACCCGAAAATAATGTCCGGGTTTTGTATATGAATATAGCGCCTGCCGGGCGTTAAGTTCGTTTGTAACGCTGTGGGGTTATAGACAGTAAATTGGTAGCAACTTCGGTGGTCCCCCCCCAAAAAAAATAAAAAATAAAAAAGGTCTATTAAAAAATATGTTGTCTAGAATTGCAATGCAATCAGCTTTTGGCTGAAGCTCACCTTAGAATTCCTTATAAATTCGGGGGCGGGGAAAGAAAACAAAAAATCAAACCAAAACAGACCCCTTTCAAGTTTCAACCCCTTTTAAAACCCATGTATACCCCCTTTCTTCCCCCTTTAAAACCCATTTATACTACCTCTACAAGGCACTCTGCCCATGGCACATCCAAATAGAACGCCCGGGCGTCCTATTCGAATATAACGCCCAGGTGTTATATTCGAAGGGGCGTTATATTTGGAAAAAAGTGAGTAAAAACCAGAATATGTTTTTTTTTAGGGTAAGTTGAATATAACGCCGGGCATTATTTTCGGGTGAAGACGGTAGCCTAATGGGGCGGCCCTTCCCCCTCCCACACGCTCACTCCACACTACATCAAAATACATGGGCCTCGACTACCCTCATTCTAAACTTCACTAACTTTGTTGCCGAGTGAATGGAAACCTACTCTTCCTCATTTACTGCATACGCCTGTAAAGTAGAACCAAAAACCAATCTGCCTGTCGCAGGATCCTTCTTGACCAGCCTGGGGAACGTCTGTCTGGACGGATCCAGACCGTCCGGATTGACACCTCCCCCCACCCCGGCAAAGAAGAAAAGAAGGAATTGTTTGTTTTTTTTTTCCCTCTTGCTTGCACCTAGCTTTCCAGCCCGGGCGCCCGGTCGTGCAACCCCCCCGGCCAGGGACCCGGGCCTCCTCAGCGCCGCCCCCAAAAACTGCTGAAAAAAAATTATGCGGCGCAGGCCTTTGGCCAAGAGGAAAATTTTTTTTTTTGGCAGTTGGGGCGAAATGTTTCGGGGTCCAGTAGGCCCCGTTTAGTGCTTTTTATTTTTCCGCCTGGGCCGTCGATCTGCATTGATAGACGGCGCCGAAGTCTCGAGATTTTGAATTCGAATCTCCGGACTTCGCATGCGGCTCTGCGCCCTCCGCCCTCCGCCCTCCTCCGTGTGGACTACGCCCTGCGCCAGTTTGTCGTCGCCTTGCCGTCGACGTCCTCGCCATCATCGCCCTTCCGTGGTCGTCCTCGCCATCGCCGTCATCACCCTGCTGAGCCATCGTTGTCGTTGCCCTGCCGCCCTACTGCCGCACCATCGTCATCGCTCTCCAGCCACACCATCATTGTCGCCTTCCAGCCACGCCATCGTCATCGCCCTCCAGCCCCATCATCATTGCCGCCCTCCAGCCACACGATCATTGTCTCCCTCTCGCCCTCATCCTCCATCAGTAAATGTCCCTCCACATACTCTACCTCTCTCCTTCCTCCGCTGTAGCTCCCTCTCTCTACCCCCCATCCCCACCGCGGACACACTGAAACCTATATGCCTGAAAAAAAAAAGAGGTCGGATTTGGGGAGTACTGGGAAAGCGCATCAAGGCCCCGCAGACCCAAAAAAAAAAAAAACATTTCAGGCCGGATTTGGGGAGTACTGGGAAAGCGCATCAAGGCCCCGCAGACCAAAAAAAAAAAAAACATTTCGGTGGATTTTTTAATTTTTTTCATGCCCGGGGTACCCCTACAGGCGCCCTTGGAAAGCTAGCTTGCACATGAATTTTGAGAGGATCCTTAGCCAAAAGTTTTTTTGTTACGATCCTGGTCATTTCCGAAGTGCAAATTCACAAGGAAAGGCAATGCCACCCAATTGCGAAATAAATGAAAGCACTTGCAAAGAGATAGAGACCAGAGAAGAAGAGAGAAAGAATCTAGGCGAAAGTTGATTCTTTCAAAAAAAAAAAAAAAAAAAAGATTGTTTTCTTTTTCCTTCCTGTAAGTTCTCATGCTGATTGTTTTCCTTCCTATGTTTGTTTGAACAAGAAAAAGAAAATCACGCTCACTTTTTGTGGGAGATTAGACTAATGTCAATGTGTCTATAATACACTATATATGATCAGTCAAGCAACAAATGACAGTTCAGGAATTAATCCAGGAGGTTTGGGCACTGCTTTTTGTATTGGGGGGTTCTGACATTCCTTGTTCTGGTCATGGTCCCATGGGGTAATGGGGCATGGTTGCACATGATGTGGGATCAGCTCTGGATGGTTACCGGGCTTGGAGATGAACACGGGGAAAAATCAGTGGGATATTGCTGTTCGAGCAATTGTCAAGCGCAGAAGGCGGCAAAACATCAGGTGAAATGCAGCTCATTTTTACCTCTCTTCATTTTTCCTTTTCCTTTTGCGGTAGGCATAGCATTGTGGCAATGGGGAGCAGCACCCCACTTCCTCTACAACCCTTCCAAGATCTGTCAATACAGGGGGTCTCATTCTTTTCTTTTCTTTTCTAATTTCTTCTATCTACAAAGAGAATGGCGGGTCTCGCGGGACAGCAGGCTATTCCCTTGGGACTTGGAACCGAAGCGGGGCGCGATCGGGGTGTTTTTTTTTTTTCCGGGGATGGCATTTTGTGTTTTTTTCTTTTTCGGAAAGGGGGTGGTGGTGGGGGGTCGGGGTGGAGCTGGTGACCAGATTCCCCTTGGGCGCCAACCTGCGTATCGGATGGTGAAGTGTTCTTTTGTTTATTCTCAGGTTGTGCTGCTGGACGATTTTGGTCCCAAGCCTCCCAGGCGGTTTCCATCTGTTGCCAGGTGTTGCTGTCTTTTCGGGCAAGACAGTTGGAAACTTGGAGGTGCCGAGTGGAGAGCACTGAGCAGGCACCTTGTCAACGGGTATTGGTGTGCGTCGTGTGTAGGGGGGAAGGTCCTCTCTCTCTCTCGCTCTAAATACCTGGGGCTGGTCGGTTCGATGATGATACCTCAAGGCTGTCGTCCTTTTCGAAAGAGAGAAAAAAGAGAAGAAGACTACGCAGCACTACCCACAAACCAATGGCTACACATTTACCGAAGGAATAAGGGCCCAACAGTTACTGACATTTGTGCTGCCTTTTTGTCTCCTTCCCCCCCCCCCCCACCCCAAGAATGCTCCTTTCTATTTGTTGGGAACATCACCTGCTGGGATACGGGCCCAGTGGGATACGGGCCCAGCGTCCCTTTGAAAAACAGCCATTTTTACATCCCCTGATTACGGTTAACGCTACCCCAGATTACTGCCCCGCGAATCCTGACACCATTGATTACTTCCCTCCGAAGGATTGGCTTTCAGTATAGCCCATTCCCAAATTTGAATCGACCCCCCTCCCTCTCCACTATCTATTGATGCCAACAAAAGAATCCTTAAACTTGACCTTTTCTTTTCCTATAGTCTAGCCTATCGATCCTGAAATCTGAAGCTTGAAGTGTCAGCTATACTTCTAATTCCTTGGGAGGCTGACCCTATCTGATGCTCTGTCCCTGTCCACCGTACAATATTTTCTGAATGGGGTAACTAGGGCGCAGTCACGATTTCAGTTTAAAAGCCACTTCAGGCATCCCTCGAATACAACGCATCCCCACCCCACCCTAAAGCTAGGTTGTATACATTTGCTTCACTTTGACACAACATTCACGAAATCGTGACTGGAGCACATTTTTAAACTGAAACCGTGGCTGCGCCGTAGTTTTCCCTCTCCAAATATACTGAGCAACAGCAAGGAGTGCGAAAAGGGTAGGAGGAGGCAAAGTGGCGAAGATCAAAGGACATTTGCGCTGCCTAATAGTGCCTATTCTTTTTCTCTTCTTTTTTGGTAAAAAAATGAAACATTTCTCGATTTATGCGTGTCATCCTTATGCAGGCTTCTCTGTATCGTTCCAATTTTAACGGACTCAACTCTCGAGGAAAATACAACTACCCATCGTCTCATCTTTTGTGAAGAAGCATGGCGGGAGTGAGGGCACCGACAGTTCTCCAATTTTCGCTGCCCATTCGGAATAGGGATTAGCCTATTCTGTGAAGAACCGTGGCGGAATACTGGCGTAAAGCAAGAAGCCTCGGGTCACATTTTTTTCTTCTCCTCCCCCCTTCCTGAGTATCCCCTCCAAGTCCTCGGAATACTGGCCTAAAACAAGAAGCCTCGGGTCACATTTTTTTCTTCTCCTCCCCCCTTCCTGAGTATCCCCTCCAAGTCCTCTCATGGATCAGCCTTCCCGCCTGATTTTGCGAGCCGAAAAGAATATGGCCTTGTCATTTGATCAGAAAGATCACACTGTGCGTGGTAATCAGGGAAGAGTGGTGCAATATACAACCTTGGAAGGAGTGCTAAATATCTAAGAGGACGAGTCCTTCAGGACATCTGTTAAAATTGGAACGATAAAGAGAAGATTAGCATGGACCCTGCGCATGGACGACACACATAAATCGAGAAATGGTCCAAAACAAATTAAAAAATTTAAGAGGACGTATGGAGGACTCCAAACGACCCTATTGAAGTAGAAAAAAGAAGATGCAGAAAAAGTGGGTCATGCATGCATGGGAATTTCACGCCAAGCTCGGTCCATGGGGTGAAAGTGAAGCCTGTTGAAGAGTACTTAACCCCACCCCAGCATGGATTTCTCCATGGCCCGGTGTACCCCCAACCTCACTACCCAGGCATACGAAGGCAACCATTGAGAGGCATCCAGAGTCCACGACCAAGGCAAATTTTAAGCAGATCTGATTGGTGGATGGTAAAGTGGCTACTTTCTTATTTTAGAAAGGGCGACGACCTTGAGAAATCATTGTGGAACTGACCGTCCCCAGATAATTCAGAAATATTTGATTTGATTCATCTAGTAACTCTAGTTCCCTCTGTAATGGAACTCAGGTCTGCATTTCAACAGTTCATGGGTGTCAACAGGCTAAAAAAAAGACAAAAGCTCAGATGCAACGCATAGCAAAACTCTGAACAGATCAGAAGGAATCTGGAGATTTAGCAACAGGACAGTGACAAACCTATTCGAAACACGGCGGACCTGCCTATAGGTGGAAAGGGTCTTCATTGACTCTGCAAGCATAATCGACAGCGTGATCGCAAGGGCAACACAGCAAAAATGAAAGGGGCCCGACCGATGAGCAGGCTGTTTTTCTTCCGGTTTTCCAAAAAAAAACAGATTGATTGCCAGGGTAAACACCAGCGTTGGACACCGTCCAGGAAAGTAGCCACAGGAGGGAGACAGTGAGTACTCAGCTTTTCATTTAAATGTGACTGTCCATATGGATGTGGACTGATAGGAATCCAGGAAGGAAACTAGACTTACCTGATGGCTAATTCTCCTTTCCGCCAGCGTCAGTAAGGGAAGCTAGATCCAAAATGTTGCAGTTCCTGCACAAGACGATTACAACAGAGCAGGCAACCAACTTGGATAAACCAATCACCTTAGATGAATTAAAAGCGGCACTCCACTGCATGAACAACAATAGGTCTCCAGGAATCGATGGACTTACCAAGGAATTTTGGGAACAAGCCTGCCCGCTGATGGAAACTGACCTTCTCCACTTCTATCAGGACAACTGGGACAAGGGAGGAATGGGAGAACTGCTAAGCAGCAGCGTGGTGACCCTGCTATACAAGAAGGGGGACAGGGAGGACATCAGGAATTACAGGCCAATCTCACTACTTACCCTTCCCTACAAAATTCTAGCTAAAGTCCTCGCTCTAAGGATATTGGATCTCACCGACAAATGTCTCCACATAGATCAAACCGGCTGCATCCCAGGGAGATATATACTGGACAATGTTCTCACTTTGAGTGAAGCAGCAAGGTAAGTCAAGGAGAAGAGGCTGAATACCGCAATTCTGTTTTTCGACTTCGAAAAGGCCTATGACCAAGTGAATTGGACCTTCCTGGATGCGAGCATGGAGAAAATGGGAGTGGGACCCAACTTCAGAAAGTGGGTCAGAGTCCTGTACAAGGATGGATCAGGATGCGTACAAGTTAATGGTTTGCTATCTGACCGTTATCCCATCTCCCGGTCAATGAGGCAAGGGGATCCCCTAGCCCCGCCGATCTTCCTGTTCGTAATGGAAGCCATAGCATCTTTCTTGTGCAAGGACCCCTCGATTCATAGACTTCCCGAGCTCAACACGGGTTCACCCCACCATATCCAATTCCCAACAACAATAATGTCTGCAGATGACCTAACCGTCCTCATTAGGGCATCGGATTCCTCAGTTAAAGCAATAGTCAGGGCGATGGAAGCGTACAGGTTAGCTTCAGAAATGAGGATAAACTGGAAGAAAACGGTGGGGTGGTGGTTGTCAGAAGAGGAGTTACATCCTATGACAGGCCCAGAAGCAGAAACGACATGGGAGAGACCCGATAACCCGATGGGATACCTGGGAATCATGGTTACTGAAGAAGGTCCCAAAAATTCGGTGTTTTTCGCCGCACCACCACAAGCAATGTCGTCAAAAATTTCGTGAACAAACAATTCAGGCTCATAATACAAACATCAAAAAAATAAACAGGCAAAAAAAAAATCAACAACAACTAAAAAGCACTATAAAATTCTATTCGGAGTAGCTTTCGGAGTTCGCCAATTTGTTTTCCGAATTCGGTGTTTTTGCCAACTTTCTTGTTAGTGGTCCAAATGCATCGAAACTGAATACAGATATACCCTAAAGCACATGCATATCACACAAAAAAACAAACAACAAAAAAAACACCAATTCTGGAAAATACGGCAGTTTCGGTGAAAAATTCGCCGAAAATGACACCACCTATTAACCATATGTGATGGCACAAAACCTGCTAACGAATCAAATAAACAGAATGGGAAGATGAGGCAACACATTCACCTCACTGCTAGGACGAGCTTTAACAATCAATACGTCCGTATTCTCGATGATGTGGTACATAGCTTCCATATGGACCATACCAGATCCAACTATTAAGGAACTCAACAGCAGAGCGAGGGCATACCTCTGGTCAGGTGACCCTAACAAAACAAAATATATTCCTAAAATAGCCTGGCATTACATAACTAGGAGGCCGTCAAAAGGGGGACTAGGGATAATCGATCCCAGACAAGAAACTAAGGCCCTACATAATCAAATGGGTAGTTAAACTACAGCCGTCCACCCCTTACTGGACAGCACTTATCAGGATTTTGGAGGGAGATAATGCCTAAACAGGTTAAGAAACCCAAATCCAAAGAAGAGGTGTTGCGTCAGCCTCTTTTCGGGAACCAAAACGTCAAAGACACAGGAGACCATCCTCTGTCATTAGCAGGAGGTCAGAGATGGCTTTCCTGGATTAAGCATGGGATTCGGAAGGTGAGTCGCATCTGGGCCGAAGAGAAAAAAGACTGGATTAGCTAAAGGTGCGCCTAAAGGGCTGTCACCGCCGGGATGAGAATCCATCAGTCCTGGTCAACAGCATCCCTGATAGTTGGAAAGAGCTGTTGAAAGAGGACTTTTCGTGGAAAGCAGGGGAATGGGGACTGCTAACACAGGAAACAGTACCAGTGAAAGCGTATCAATTCAATCGCAGATCTCCTGGTTCGGTTTGCACTGGAGTCTTCACCTCCTTCCCCATAGATCGATCGAACCCCAAATCCCTTGCCATTCAGAACACCGACCCACAAGAAGTAACTCTGAACTCCTACATGTTAAGAAAGGTGAGACTATTGGGAAGTTGGCCAAAGGTTATATTCCATACGGACACAGCAATCCAAGACCTTGAATTTGCCCCAGAAGAATGGGCTTGGCCCTCAGAAGCTAACAGGTTCTGTAAGACCCCCTCTCAGATAACACAGTACACAGTTATGATGGGTTACAGAAAGCTTCTAAGAACCAAAGACCCCGAGCCAGTAATCAAAGAAAGATGGACGGAAGTGTTTGGGCAACGAATAGAACCAATTCCAGAAATCCCCTGGCGAAAGTATAAGTCAATTCGCCCAGTCAAGATAAGAAGTCTCCAATGGCTGATCACCTACAAAGCCCTCCCAGTGAATGCCTGGCTTCATGTCCAAGGAAAGAACAACGGCCCGAACAGTTCAGACCAATGTACGGTCTGCTCAGATAACGAACAGGAGGATATAGTACATTGTCTGATCACTTGCAAACTTGCTACCGACCTGTGGGCAAGAGCATCAGTGCTCTGGGACCACTTATTTCCCACTTCCCTACCCGAACACCCAATCCAACTTCTCCTATGGACTAACGCCTCCTCTCTCTCCAACAAATCGGAACGCATCTGGTTCGGAATAATCAGGAAGGCTACGCTGTGGGTCATTTGGAAGGAGCATACTTGCGGCGCACTTCTGCGGTGCGCCATGCGCC